AAAAAAAAACCACTTTGGAGCCAGATTGGCCCTAAGCCAATAAAGATTAACAAGCACACGGCCTACCATCGACAATTCCACCTATGTCATGTGTCCTGCCCAAGGATACCAGGTGACATGCACAGATGTTCACAGCAGGATTGTTTAGCAGGGCAGGGGCCAGGGGGTGGATGAGAGCCTCCTGGGTACCAAACTGAAAGTGGTACTCACAGGATTGACACAGGTTGTGGCCTCTAATATTGCATCCTCAGCATCCTCAGAAGGTTAAATGGTAGCCCACAAAAAGATGCATCTGTGCCCCCTGAAACCTTGAATGTAACCTTTCTTAGAAAAAGAGACTTTGAAGATGTAATTTGGTTAAAGATCTGAAGATGAGATCATTCTGGATAATCTGGCCCAATTACTAAGACCTCGATTCAATGACAAGTATCTTTATAAGAGAGACACAGAAGAGAGACACAGGGAAAGAGGGGAAGTTTATATGCAGTTCCTAGTTTCTACCAATAGTAGAACACATGGACAAATTGTGCTGGCTTACCCTGGTAAATCACTGCAGAACCAATGAACTGCAGCTACACAGATCAAGTTGCATAAACCTCCAAAATAAGGTTAGGTGAAAGAAATACACAAACTGCAAATATGAATGTTAAAGCTAGGTTAAAGGGTTGGGGATATAGCTTAGTTGGTAGGGTGCTTACTTTGCATGCACAAAGCCCTGGGTTCAATCCTCAGCTAGGTTAAAGGACATAATAAATTATTTATCCTGCACAGGTGGTAAAACAGAAAAGAAAAGCAAGTGACAAGATGTAACACTTCTGGGAGGGAGGGGAAGAGGCACTCCAGGCTTGTCAAGCTGGGCTATTTAAGTGCTGCTTCAATGGAAGTTCTCTCGTATTCCTCTTTACACTCTATATATTTCATTTTCTATACTTTTTTTTTGTACTGGGGGTTGAATCCAGGGGTGCTTTACCACTGAGCTGTACCCACATCTCCCCTTTTTATTTTTTATTTTGAGACAGGATCTCACTATGTTGCGGAGGCTGGCCACATACTTGGAATCCTC